TTAATTTCTTCACGGTTTTGTTGATTTTTTTTTGCGTTTTTTTCCGTCTGGATTGCTTGCTTTTCCTTTCTCGTATCTGCTGCCTTTGATGATTTGATGTTTCTCGAAATTGAGTGGAGATACGGCATCCGAGTAGCCATCTCCAATTGCATGTGATTATGTCTTTGTTGATTTCATATAGATGAACACCTTCATCTTAACCAGGTCACTCTACATTTGAATGGCAACTTTGAAAGCACGCATATGCACTTCTTTTCCTTCTGATAATTTTTCCATTTATGAACTCAGTGGACAGATTTATTATCATTAGTTCATAACAACTTAGGTATATTGTCTTTATGTGCATCAGATTGTTTTCGGTTTCTTGTAGTGCCTTCAATTATTAGTAATTTAGGGTGATGAGTTATCATATCTCTGTTATTCTCTCATCTGTAAGGAATTAGTACAGTCAGTATTTTTAGCCACACCATGAAGGTTTGGGAGCGTATCATTGAGTATAGGGTGCGGAAAGGGGTTTGCATCTCTGAGAACCAGTTTGGTTTCATGCCTGGCAGATCGACTACAGAGGCCATTCATCTCGTGAGGAGGTTAATGGAAGAATATAGGGCTAGGAAGAAGGACCTTCATATGGTGTTTATTGACCTCGAGAAGGCGTACGATAGGGTGCCAAGGGAGGTCTTATGGAGGTGCCTTGAGGCGAGAGGAGTTCCCATCGTGTACACTCGTGCGATCAAGGATATGTACGAGGGGGCTATGACCAAGGTAAGGACTTCCGGGGGCAACTCAGATTCCTTCTCGGTAGGAATGGGGTTGCACCAGGGGTCTGCCCTTAGCCCTTTTTTGTTCGCCTTGGTGATGGACGTCCTAACTCAAGGTGTTCAAGACGGGGTCCCATGGTGCATGCTTTTCGCGGATGATATTGTGCTTATCGACGACACACGTGAGGGGCTAAACGATAAGTTGAAATTATGGCGCCTTGCCCTTGAGACTAAAGGATTCAGAATTAGTAGGAACAAGACTGAATACATGGAGTGTCGTTTCAGCGGCCGAGATACAGAATCAGAGGTGGAAGTCAGGATTGACTCTCACCTAATACCTAAGGTAGACAAGTTTCGATATCTTGGCTCGGTAATACAGGCTGATGGGGAGTTAGATGCAGATGTTGGGCATCGTGTTGGAGTGGCTTGGGCCAAATGGCGATTAGCTTCAGGAGTGTTGTGTGATCCGAAGATTTCGCCTAGAATGAAAGGTAAGTTCTATCGATCCGTAGTCAGACCTGCTATGTTATATGGGGCAGAGTGTTTGGCGGTTAAGAAGACTCATGTGCGTCGTCTGCATGCAGCGGAGATGCGGATGTTACGATGGATGTGTGGGAAGACAAGGTTGGATAGGGTTTCGAACGAAGTTATCCGACGTCAGGTAGGCATGGCACCGGTGGAAGATAAGTTGCGGGAAGCGAGGCTGAGATGGTTTGGCCATGTGAGACGGCGGGATGCCGACGCCCCTGTACGGAGATGCGAGAGGATTACAGTTATTGGGGGAAGTAGGGGAAGGGGTAGGCCTAGGAAGAATTGGAAGGAGGTGATTAGGCAGGATTTAGGACTTCTCGACCTGTCTGAGGATATGGCCCTAGATAGGAACCTTTGGAAAACTAGGATTAGAGTAGCTGGATAGGAGCTCGGTGTTGTAGAGGTAGTTTTGTACTGTGCTGTATTTGTTTGGAATCTTCTGCTATTGTTTGTACTTGTTACTTGTACTTGTTGCGTGTACTTGGTGCTTTATCTGTATTATACTGTGTTCCCTTCCATATTTTTATGCAGGTGGAGCCGGGGGTCTCTTGGAAACAGCCTCCCTACTTCCGAGTAGGGGCAAGGTCTGCGTACACACACCCTCCCCAGACCCTACTGTTGTGGGATTCACCTGGGTTGTTGTTGTTGTTG